TCTTTAACATTATTTTCTTTTCTCCAATAAATATAAGATGGAAGTATTAGGGCACTGGAGCTTGATTCCAGCAGCTCCGAGCTCCCAGCTGAGGGATGGGTTTCCTGAGGAGCTGCCCTGGCAGCTTCTGCAGGAATATTAACAACTAATTTGTTCTATTAAAAAGGATTTAAGGATTATTTTGGCCTTGGAGGAGGTTCCCAGTAGGCTGTGTTTGATTTTCATGGAATCCTGGATAGGTTTGGGTGGGAAAGGACCCTCAAACTCATCCCATTTCTCCCACCATCCCAGGGTGCTCCAACCTCGCCTTGGACACTTCCAGGGATGTGGATTTCCTGTCCAACCCCCAGTACAGCAACCATTAGCTCCTTAATTTCTGTAAAATCCTCGATTATCACAAGGTTCAGATCTATCAGGTGTTAAAATATTGAAGCTGAGAGTGCTGGGCTTGTTCCTATCAACACCCAAAGTTGTGCTTCCCTCCATCAATCCATGGGATTTTTCCAGCTACCAAACACGAGCCTTTCAGAGTCTTCCCAAAAACCAAACCTCAAGTCATTATGAGGTTTTATTCCTGAGCAGTTTTCCCATATTTGAGGGAAAAAACACATCAAGGGAAATTCAGATGTGCAAAGAGCATTTTATGGAGCAGCTTCCTGCGGGGAAGAGTTTGGAGGTCCCCAAATGCCAAAGGTCCCAGGGACAATGACACCACCAAATAGTTGTTTTGCTGTGTCAGCACTTTGGCACCACCTGAAAGGTCTGGAAGTCGAACCTTAATGATCTGCTGCTCCAAAAGGATCGATGGATTTCTGCAGGGGTCATTTGCAGGATCAATAGTTGTCCATCCCCTGCAAAACTGGAGAAAATCAGCTTGAAAGCTCCTTCCCAGAAACAGCAGGGCAGCTCCGGGTTTTACCTGACTCCAGGGAGCCTCAAAGTCGGTTTCCTACAGATTTTGGGATGGGGGAGGCAGGATGTGGCCACTAAAAGAATGAGTTTATTCCTGCTCACAACTCCTGCTCCTGCCCCAGTGCTCACAGACAAATTCCAGCTTGGATGGAGCTGGCAGCAGCCTGCTCTAGTGGAAGGTGTCCCTGCCTGTGGAATCCTGCTGGAATCCTGCTGGAATCCTGCTGGAATCAAAGATCCCTGCCTGTCATCATGCTCCCACACCCCACAGATTTCCAAAATGTAGCAGCTGAGGCAGCTGCACCTCCCCAAACCCCCCAAACCCACAGAGGGTGCAGCCCCTACATCCACAGCCACTCCAGGATGAATCCTGTGGCTCTGGCTCATCCTGACCTGTGTTCCTGCATTTTCCCAAGGCAGGCATGGGCTGAGGCAGCTGGGGCTGCTGCAGGGCACAGCTGCATGCCAGAATTGCAATTTTTACTCCTTCCTGCTCGCTCTAGCCACAATGCTGCTTGTGTGGTGGGACACGGAGCAGCTCCTGAGCCGCTGCTGCAGGCTGAGCAGCAAAGCCCAGCTCCCAGCACTCAGGGCCAGCCAAAACGGTGTGTTTAACGAGCTATCAACCAGCTTTAATATTTCATGGAGCTCGGAGGGAGCCCCAGCTGATCAGAGATGCTGTGGAAAGGCTGAGCTCTATTAACGGGTGGGCAGGATGCACCAGGCGCCTGCTGCTTGCTCTGGGTTTGCCTCCAAAACACCACATCAGTTCTTGTCAGCTCTGCAGGGAATGGGGCCCTGGAGGTGCTGCTGAGCACCCCAAATCCTGCTGGCCATGGGCAGGGATCAGCCCCCAAAGAAAAGTGAGGCAGCAGCTCCTAAAGCAGCTGGGGCTGCACCCGCTGCCCTCCTCTCCCAGCCCCTGCCTCCTTCTGCAGGGAGAAACGTCCCCAAAATGAGGGCACAGATGCAGAATAAACCCCTGAAATTCAGAGAGAAACAACAGCTTTTCCTGGTTTGCCAGAAGCCCAGCACCACCGACACCTCCTTCCTCAAACTCCATATCACAGCTGAGAATTTTTCCCCTCAATTTTGCCCCCGAGCGTTCCAAAACGTGTCATACACACAGTTACCCCAAAGTGGGGCTGACAGCAGGGGGTGGCTTGTAGCTATCAGCAGGGAAATCATCACCAGGCGGGTAAACAGGATAAAGGAAATAAATGTACCCCCCGTGAGGCTCACGTAGGTGGGTCAGCAGCTGCCTATCAGATTTGGCAGGGTCACCCAAGAGGAAACCAAGCAGAAAAGGTCTGGTCAGTTTTTGCCGTGTTACTGACTTTGCTGTTAGTCAGTTTTTCCATGATGACAGCTCCCTGTCCTCTCCCTTTGGCTGCGATGTTGCAATTAAGCTGAAGGTAATCAGCAAACCACACAGATGAGGGGCTGTGCTCATGGGGGTGCTTTGGGACATCACTGGGTGACACAGGGACCTGTGAAACTTTAATGGCAGGAATAAAAGCCAAGCAAAATGAAAAAAGAAGGTCTCACTGTGCCTGCACAGGTACCAGGGCCCCAGTCTGTCAGTGCCTGCTCTGACTCTGCTGTTGCCTCCCTTTTTAAGCTGCAAAATTCACGCTGGGCTCTGCTCGTGGCTCAGGTGTCATTTGCCTTGATGTCCTTGGCTCCTGCTCATCCCTGCACCCCTGGGCTCACCCACCAGGCTCAGGCACTGTTCATCCACACATCCTTCTGTCCTTGGCTCCTGCTCATCCCTGGGCTCACCCTACAGGCTCAAGCACTGCAAATCCACACATCCCTGCACCCCTGGGTTCATCCCCTACAGGCTCAGGCACTGCAAATCCACATATCCCCGTGTCCTTGGCTCCTGCTCACCCCTGGGCTCACCCTACAGGCTCAGGCACTGCCAATCCACACATCCCCGTGTCCTTGGCTCCTGATCATCACTGGGTTCACCCTACAGGCTCAGGGACTGTTCATCCACACATCCCTGTGTCCCTGGGTTCACCCTACAGGCTCAGGCACAGCTCATCCACACATCCCTGTGTCCTTGGCTCCTGCCCGTCCCTGCACCCTTGGGTTCACCCTACAGGTTCAGGCACTGCCAATCCACATATCCCTGCACCCCTGGGCTCACCCACCAGGCTCAGGCACTGCCAATCCACACATCCCTGTATCCTTGGCTCCTGATCATCCCTGCACCCCTGGGTTCACCCTACAGGCTCAGGCACTGCTCATCCACACATCCCTGTGTCCTTGGGTCCTGCTCATCCCTGGGCTCACCCACCAGGCTCAGGCACTGCTCATCCACACATCCCTGTGTCCTTGGCTCCTGCCCGTCCCTGCATCCTCACATTCCCGCTCCCATCCCTGGGTACCGCTCATCCCCACATCCCTGCGTTCCTCCCCGTGCTGGGTCCCGCTGTCCCCGTGTCCTGACCCCCCGGCCGAGCCCGGCCTGGCCGCGTTCCCCGGCCCCATTAGGGGATGAACAGCGGCCAAACGGCCGCATCGATCAATATCCGATAGGGCCCGAAGGCGGCGGGCGCGGATAAAGCGCGGCGCTGCGGGCGGGGCGCGCAGCGGGGATGGCGGGCGGCCGCTGCGGCGGGGGCGGCTGCCCGGGCCCGGGGGTGGCGGAGGCTCCGGGGGTGGCTCCGGGACCCCCGTGGGTGCCGCGGGCGCGGTGGTTGGCGCGCAGGTTGGCGGCGCTGCTGGTGCTGCTGGCGCTGCTGGCCGCGGGCTGCGCGCTCCGCCGCCGCGCCTGCCCCGCGCCCCGCCGGCCGCGCCCCGCAGCGCCCCGGGCACCGGGCACCGGGAGCACCGGGAGCACCGGGAGCACCGGGAACACCGGGAGCACCGGGAGCACCGGGAGCATCGCCGGCCCGCCGGGACCGGCCGTGGGCGTGGAGCTGCCGCACCTGCCCAGCTACGAGGAGGTGAAGCACTTGCCCAGCTACGAGGAGGCGCAGCGCGGGATGCGGGGCTGAGCATCCTCATCCTCATCCTCATCCTCATCCTCATCCTCATCCTCATCCTCATCCTCATCCTCATCCTCATCCTCATCCTCATCTTCCGGAGCCCCGGGAGCATCGCCGGCCCGCCTGGACCGGCCGTGGGCGTGGAGCTGCCGCACCTGCCCAGCTACGAGGAGGCGCGGCCGTGGGGATGCGGGGCTGAGCATCCTCATCCTCATCCTCATCCTCATCCTCATCCTCATCCTCATCCTCATCCTCATCCTCATCCTCATCCTCATCCTCATCCTCATCCTCATCCTCATCCTCATCCTCATCCTCATCCTCCGGAGCCCCGGGAGGGACAGCGGACAGCCCCAGGTGTGCCAGCAGGGATGGAGGGGAGGATCGAGGAGCCCCGGGAATGCTCCACCCCGCACGGTGACCTGCGGGACACCGGCTCTGCCAGGGACATCGGGGATTCTCGGGAATGCTCCACACCCGCGGGACACCGGCTCTGCAAAGGACATCGGGGATTCCCGGGAATGCTCCATACCTACGGGACATCGGGGATTCCCGGGAATGCTCCACACCTGCGGGAGGACACCGCAGGGGACACTGGAATTCCCGGGAATGCTCCACAAAGGGACCCGTGCAGGAGCGGGACACGCTGCCCGGAGCCGCCGGGACAGCCCGCAGGACACCACAGGGACACCACAGGGACACGGCACAGCCCTGGAAGGGGTTCCAGGAGGAAGGTGACTTGGGGACATCACCTCCAGCGCAAGGACACGGAGGATGGGAAGCTCTGGTTGTGGTTCGGTGCAGCATTCCCAGCTGCTCTCACCTGGGCTCGAGTTCCCCGGGAATTTTGGGATGGCTGGGCTGTGGGATTTTGCTGTGTGGACACGAGTGGGTGATCCTCACCCCCACGGGTGCCAGAAGGAGCTTTTGGGACAGCAGGACCAGGCTGTGCCCCCTGGCCTGGGCAGCAGGGGAAGGAAAGAACCCCTCCAAAAACCTGCAAATGAAATCTCAGCACCTCCTGCTCCAAGGGAATGAACCCACGGGTGGCACCTCTTCCATCGAGACAAACCCCAAAGCCAAGGCCAGGCAGGAACCTCCAACACCCCTGAAGGAGCCGGGAGTGCCTCCTGAGATCCTGAATTATTGCTGCAGCATCAGCCCAGCTCAGCCCGGCTCTCTGACAGTGGAACTGCCCAAAACTTGCATTAAATACCTTTTGTTGTCCTTTCCTTTTCCAGGAGTGCCTCCTGTGCTCCTGAATTATTCCTGCAGCATCAGCCCAGCCCAGCCCGGCTCACCCAAAACTTGCATTAAATACCTTTTGTTCTCCTTTCCTAGCTCAGCTTTAGCACTTGGAACAGGGTGTGCAGCAGCCACGAGCTCCTTTCACTTTCCTTTCTCTCTCTTGAAGGTGTCTCTAATGGCAAAGCAAACCTGCAGGTTTATTTAAAATACACATTACAGCTTTTCAAACTGCAGGGCTCCAACTAGCACAGTCATTTCTTTATAGAAAGTGAAATAATTCTTGCAAACCCTTCGTGAAAAACACAAATAATGAAAGATTTAATTGTTTTGTACAACCAAGTTCTGTGCAAACTCTTTCCCCGAAGGTACCAGCCCATCCTATTTTCCCAAACTTTTACAGGAGGGCAAAGGCACCTAACTAAATTTAAAAAGGTTAAATTTCAGTATTGGAAATTTTATAGCACAAAGCAACCCCTGACTGATTTGGATCAATACAAATAAACTTTGGAAATAGAGATTCTCACATGTGATCAATTCATAAAAACCGTTTTTCTCCCTGGCTCTTCCCCATCCCCTGCAGAGTAAAATCTCATCTCTGTTATCATGAAAATAAAGAAATTGAGGTCTTAAAATGTTTAATAAAAACCAATATAAAAACATATCTATAATATAAAAATAGTAAATAGCTGCTCTCCAACCTGCCCCCAGTGGTAGGTGATACAAACTTTATATTAATAGTAATACCTACTAAAATTTCAGAATTAAATTTTAAAAAGCTTTGAACTTTTCCATAGTTGCTCATTTATAATTGTGACTACTTTGAAGTGAATCAGGCAACAATCACCAGTTTTTCTGCAGGATACAGTTCCACATAATCTGTAAAATCAAATTTTCATGTCAGATGATTCAAACCTTCCTCCTGTGCCAGTCCCAAAGGGTAAAATCCCACAGACAAATCCAGATCTCAAAGTTTTATTGCCTTAAAAACCAGAAAACAAAAGCTATTTTTAATTTTTCCTCTGAACTATTACAAATATGCAGTAGGATTTAAACACCCACCTGAGCTTTTACTTTTGCCTCATTTGAGAACTTTATTTTTCACCTAAAGATGTATTTTTCAACCTCCCTTTTTATAATCAGAGAGGATTTACTGCGGCCAAGGTTAAATGAAGTGAACCAACTCAACTCCCACCCTGCTATGGCAAAATTTGGGTTATTTTTGACTTTTGATCCATCACAGCAGCACCTAAACTATTGCATTTTAATAATGTTAACTATTCTCTGTTTTTTAAATTGGTTTATGACGGTTTAAATTAAGCAGTCAATAATTAAATAAGAGGTATTTCTTTTTAAAAGAGAGTTTTGAAATAATTTCTTGTTCTGGGCAGTAATGTAACCAAAATGTACCTGAAACATCTGTATCCTTCTGCTATTTATTTTTACTTAATACTGAAAATAACTGAAAACGGGTAAAAATACAATGCAAAACTTTGCAAACCCCAGAAAAACCAGCTTGGAATGACAATCCCTAAAATCCCTGCCAGTAAAGTCATATAGGAACGTTTTCTCCTGAGAATATGCTGAAATTCTGATTTCATACCCAGGGTCATGATTGTATTTAGAACCTGGTGAAAACAAGAAATAAAAGTGCTCTTCCAAAATATTTTGCTTTGTTTTCTATTTAACACCAGGATGTGTGTGATAAAAAATGGAATTAAACACCTCTCCCATCCCTTCCAAATGTAATTAAAACACCCCAAATATTCTTTTTTTAGCACTCAGGGGAGATCCCCACATGCAGCAGCTCTCAGATACATTAAAAACCTCCACTTTAATTTGGTTTTATTAAGAAATTTATGAACTGTACAAGGAAGGGTTACAGAATGATTTACAAATTTGCTGTATGTACAGATATTGAACATTTTGCTGGTAACATTTGAAAGATACATAATAAACCTTGTCAGTGATGAACAAACTGGTAATATATTTATAACATGAAGAGAATGCAGCCAGCTTTGGTGTGAAACAAAGGAAAGTGTATCTTGATGAAATAACATAAAGTTAAAAAAAATTATTTACAAATCAAGTGCTTTGGGCAGAAAAAATACATGAAATATTATCTTATTTTAAATATTGTCAATTCTGCACGTCAGATGCTGCAAATGCTGTTTGTTACTTCCAACAACCCTGAAAGCACATTCCAAAGTATTTAAAACAAAAAAAAAACTCCTTTTACTGCTGAATGTTTTGCTCAGTGACAAACCTGAGTTGCTGAAATTATTTGAAATCTATTAAAAAACTCACTAACAAATATGTATTCCCTCTACTGTGAGGGAAATATTTGTACTTGAGAGGCTCAAGCTTTGTTTTTTTTTTTTTTTTTTTTCATTTTCAGCACTTCCAGTTTGCTAAATTTGTTTTAGGGCAATTGAAACAAGTTTGGAGAGGTCCCTGGGGTTGCAGAAATAACCAAACTGCTTAACTTGGGGCTCAAATTGTGATTTCAGTAGAGGCAACCCAGGTTAAAGAATATTAATGGTAATAAAAATTTAAAATCACTAAGAGAGGAACTGTTAATTCCCTTTTTTCTCATATATGCAGTCATCACTGGCATCGGAATACAAACCCAGCTCAAAATGAAAGGAAAAAATTCCTCCTGTGTGTCACCCAAAGATTCAAATCCACAGAAATTCTCACTCCTGTGACCCACAAAATGTTTGCTGTGGCTTTTTTTTTTTTACAACAAACCAGTAGAAATATTGAAGCAGCACTTTGAAGGTGCCCAAAATGTGAATTATTGCTGCACAGTCACACTGCTCCTCCCCGCAGCACTGGCTGCTGCTCGTTCTCTCTCTTTAGCAATTTCCATCTCTATTTTGGCTTTGATTTTATTCCAGTCCACTTCCAGCTGCAAGAAGAGAAAAATGAAACACACAGAGCTCAACATCAGAGAGAGCCAGGTCAGTTATTCCATTTAAAAATACAATTATCAAGTGTTGGGTACCCAAACTCATGGAAGACACGAAGGCACAACTGAGTTGTAACTGAGCTTCACCTTTAAAATAAACCAAGCCTGAGCTATTTCAATAAATCCCATTGTGTCTGACAATAAAACACAAAATAACCTGCTTCTAATTTAATTTTATGACATCAGCGTCCTGTTACTGAAAATTTAGCCCTGCATCATTAATTTAGGAGTGCTGTCTCCTCCAAGGAGCTGATAGGATATCAAACCAGTTATCTGCTCCACGAGAAATCAGATTCCTGCTTGAAACTGCCCTTCTGCATCAATAAAAGGTTTGGTTTTAACCTTGGCATTTCTCCAGCTGCAGAGAATTGGCATTTTCTGGCTGTGTTTTGTGTCAGTGAAACCCCAGGCAATACACACAGCACAATATCACAGCACAAACGTGGGCAGAAAAGTTGTTCCTTCCCCAAAAAAATGCTTGACAAGATAAAAAAAATGGATCATGGTGCATTTGATGACCATAAAAACACATCCAAAAATGTCATTGTGCAGCTCAGTTTATTGCTGGAGAATTAACACTGGCAAAGGTGGGATGGGAGAAGAATTTCAAGGGCTGCACAGGGAATTTTCCCCTGTAATTAAGTAATGGAGTAACAGGGGAGATTCTCCAAGAGAGAAAGTGAAATTAAACATCCACATTCTCAGGTGAAAATATAATAATAACACCTCAGTTCTAGAAGCACTGACTGGGCCCAGAATTCTCAGGGTATGTGTAAGGTATTGAGAACCTGATATGTAAAATAAGCACAATTATAGATCCTGCCTGGCTGCAGAAAAGAGAGAAAAAAACTCTTTATTTAAGCCTAAAGAGGTTTTAGGCTGTGAGAGGGAAACTGAGACCCTTTTTTATCCCTGAGAAGGAACAGCAGCACAAAATCTTGCTTTTCTTTTCAATTTCTTTCCGATTTTGCTTTCTGAGTCTGACAGGTTCCATGCAGAATTTAAGTACAGCTTAAAATTCACATTATGTGGATCCCTCCTATTCACAGATCCAGCAAAGACCTCCAGCACCTGGGTGTGGAAAAGGACTTTTTCCCTCCACAAATCTCCTGAGTGTGAAATTCAAATTCCAAGAAAATATCCAAATTTCCAAATTAAATTTCAGAAAGCTTCAAAATCTCCAAACTTCAAGACTGAGTAAGCTGAAAAACCATCCTGCTCACACCTTGTCACTGCCAAGGTGGGATTCCTTAGGAATCCTTCTGGAATCTGCAGCTTCCTCCAGGATTTTTAGAAAATCAGGATTATCTCCAATGTCCATCAGAAGCATCAGGGAATTTCTGTGATTTTTGCTCTATAATGGGTTTTACAGAGCACACAGAGCTGGAAAAGCTGCAGGGTAAAAATGCTTGGATTCTGTGCTTTATTTTCTGTATTTTCCAGGTAAATGACTGTGGAATGGTTCATTAGGTGCTGACTTTTGCTTAGGAAATGAGACTCCTTCAAAGTGCCCAAAGCTAATGACCTTCCATGGGAAATCCAGATTTATTCCAAAGTTCTGGGCAGTGTCCATGGAAGGATGGGAATTCCCAGCCCAGCTGTTCCCTGACCCCTCAGCTGCAGGGGATAAAAGGATTCCACACAAAGAAAAGACTTTTTTGGAGCATTCCTCCCTCAGAATGCTGAGGAACAAGGAGGAGAGAAGGACAGGAGGGAACTGTGCCTCTCCTGAGGGAAATGTGTGGAAATATTCCAGTGGAATCCAAGATCCAGCTGCTGACCTTCAGGATGTGCCCTCAGTGAAACACTAATAAATTAATTTTCTGGTGATGCAGAGGGTTTCCAATAAATGGATATTGAACTGTTGATCGTATTTTAAATCAGAATGGTTTGTGTTCATAAATATTCTGATTCCTTTGAAGTTTCTTACTGTTTCTATCCATAAAATGCCAGAAAAAATGTTGGAAACCATGTTTCATGAGCCATGGCGAAGTTTAACTCCCTGTTTTCTATAAACTGTGCCTTCACTTGCGTGATCTTCACCAGGTATTAAATCTATATATTGTGAATCTTCAAATACAACCCATGCCCAGCTATTCCTGGCCAAGCAGCCCAATATTAAGCCAAAACATGTAAAAATTCCACATTTCTGTTCACTTTTGAAACCCAGAAGGAAAACTGAGGTGCAAACCCACCCCACCCTCCAGCAGGAACAACCCTGAGGGA